CCAAAAAGCTTCTACCGATTCGGTACCACCGACTTTCCCCTCCTATTCGACTACAACACTCGGCACAATCGGGGTGTATTGCTTCGGGTCAGGTTGGGTCAGGCGTTGGCTTTAATAAGCGGAGCGCCTACACCGCCAATTTGTCTCTTCTTTGTTCGCTTTCGTTTCATGTTGAATCGTGTGCGTGCCCCTCTCTCCTCTGTTTAATATAAATCGGCGCACTGGAAACAGTAAGATTAGTTAGAATGGATGATATAAATCGTTTTGGTTGTAAGAATTTTTTTTACATAATTTTTTACATAATTTACGCAATTTCACTGGTTCTTTTAATGTTATAAGAAATATTGTTCTTTAGATTGCTTAAAATCTTTAAACTTTGCTTCTTGAATTCTTGATGATGCATAATATAAATCATTTTCTTTTTTTTATCTTTTAAATAATCACTTATCTTTTTTTTTTAGATTTTTATCTTTGTTCATATATTTCATTATTTGTGAAATTTTTAAGATCGTATGAAAATACATTTTCTTTGCAAATGATGATTATTATTATGCAATTTATTCGTTTTACTTTTATACTTTGTTTATTTTTTTTTTATTTATTTTCATATCCTTTTCTTCAATTTTTATAAGAAAATTTTGTAAATTTTGCAAGAAAACTTATTTTATAAAGAAATATAAGAAACATTTTTTACAGTGAAACGGAAAAATCATTCCGTTCTCATTCTCAACAATCATAATCTTCATCCTTCTATATAATCTCTCATAACCAAAAGTTACTATCTTCACCGAACTAAAACCCAAGTCTGCGCATCAATCTGATAATTCCCTTCAGTTTCAGTCCGTTAAAATTGATTTCACCGGCAGGTCTTAGGTTCAGGTCAGCCCAGCAGTGTGCTAGGGGCGTGTATGTTTATCCTAAGTTTGGCCATATCGTATTACGTTCGATGATCATAATACCCGAGTTTCGGGCATAGAAGAGTCGTCCTCCCTCTTTTCTTCGTGATGTTGTGTGCACCGTTCGAGCATCGCGGAGAATTGCGAGAGGAGATCGACAATACCCTTGTGGAACGATGTATGCGCGCGCGCGCGCACATATATAGGGACACTCTTCTTTCTTCCATGATTCTCTATCGCTTCCTCTTCGTTCTTCAGCTTCTGGTTCCCCTTCATGTCTCTCGTCTTGCTCCCATAAAAGCAGCCCCCGTAGCTATTGGAATCAAACGGTCGATTCACGAGAGCACTTTATTTCGTGCTAGGTTACAAGATTTGTTAATGGTTATGGGCGCTCGTGTGCCGGTCGGTTCGCGTGCCAGCCGAAGCTGCGGAGATTACCTGCGCTGGCTTTTCGAGGGGCAATAAATGTCGAGGGTGCGGGATTATCCATGGCGAGGCAATAGGATATCGCTCGTAATGCATCTCGAGATTTCCTGTTTCATAATTTATTCTATCGCTTATGGATGGAACTGTTTTTGCTTTTGAATTTTTTTCTCGTTCCTATTATTATATCCAGCTGATAAAAAAATGTTAAAAATGAAAAAAAAAACATAATTATTTTGATTTTTAAATAAGAAATCAATAATTAAATCAACATATCTATCTAATATTATGCAAATTAAATATTTGATATACTCTAACAAATATATTATATTTATATTACTTCTTTAATTTATTTTTAATTTATATTGGAATAATTATTCAATTTTTTTTCTTGACGAAGTTTTCTTTAGAATTCATTAACAAAATTTCAAATTAGCTTACCATTAAGTTCTTCAAAAAAAAATCCATTAATATAATAGATCCTTAAAAATTATCAAGAAGTTGAAAATCTTGACGATCTTTCTAAAAAAAAAAACAAAATAATAATAATAATAAAACGAAAAAAAAACATTTAAAGAAAATAGAAGAAGTTTGTCAGTGACTTAATTATTTTAGCGTGCATTTAAATACCAATTACATTACCATCGACTTCTCAATTATAATTAAGGAACGCACGAGTGTAATCACCCGACTACTAACTTCGATGCTATCGTGATGTTCCGTGGTTTCTCTTCATGGTGAAAAGCGACGAAGATCCGATGCCTCGCGGCTTTAATAATAAGAGGCGTGGTAACGAGTATACACTGTTAGGATGGCGTTGCTTTCGCTAATTCAACTGCTTCTTAACACTGCCTGTAATGAATTCACCTGAGAAGGAAGGTTAGACCGAGATAGAGTACGTTTAAATCTATTAGAGAGCAAAGGATGGATAGAATGCCTCTCTCTACCCGCGATATTCAACTCATTACAGAATGTGTACTCCGCACGCCATCTTTGATGTCGCGGTAGGACGCGTTCAGATGAAACTCTTGCTTCCTCGTGGCGTGGATTTAGCCTGAGAAACGCTTGAAGCAAGTTGTCAGAGTGAACTTCATTCTATCTTCGTCCTTCTCCTCTCCCGTTTTCAATCTTTCATCCCAACGTGATAATAACGTTTAACGAGTGTTACCTTCTTTTTGAAATAAATAAAACATATCATACCATCTGTTCCCGTGCTACTTCTCTTTTATCTTCTTTACTTTGCCATTGATGCTATGAAATGAATGAAAAGAAAATATTTCAGGAAAATGTACGCATTGCCGAGATACTCTTCATGTACCGGCGGACTTTTCGTTTAATGGGATTCCACTTATGTCTTCGAATGTTATTAAATCATTGCGATTCTGGAATTGAGGATAATATCATACTTTTCGAACATCTTAGTAAAAAAACAAAGAAAATTGACTTTCATGTTAAAAATTCAACTGTCTTTGCACATTGTTCCTCTGATTTTTACTTATATATAATTGATTATTTTATATTGGTGATAATTACCTTCTATAATATTCACATTTCGATATTCAACTTTACTACTAAAGGAAAAAAAAAATATTTCAAAACAATGTCTTTTAATCCATTTGGATATACGAAACGACACGATGCATTTTGAAAAGTACTTCATAACTTTTTCGGACCGTAATAGAAATTCGTTACTCAAGAAGTTATATGTTTCTAACGAGAATAGTAGTACTCACATCAAAAGTATCGAATTCTGTGTGTGCGACGGTCTTCGAGCATGAAGAGAACCAATCACGAAACTTTTTACATTCGAAAAGATGACACTTGAAAATGCACTGGCTAATTACCCGCGTAATATTATTGCATTCCATTAAACAAACATTCTAACGTAAACTTTCTGTCATCGTTGGGAATTGAAGTGGCGTATTAGCCGGTTCGCTGGCCTGTTTTGTTTCTATTATCGGATAACAATCAATCGTTCCTTTCCAGCAGCCGTTGCTGATCGTTTTGTTGTTTCTCTTGGGGAAACATACCATTTATACTGTTCTATATTGTATTATTTACGAGTGCACGTATATAAACACCGCCATTTTTCAGTTGGAAATTCGTTAATTCGCCACCTTTCATGTAGCGCTAGTCGCTAAATGGGAAAATGTTTCGGCGCAAAGTTACCGACGCGACGGTTACGAGTAACTATTAATGTCATGTGTTTCACCACTTATTGTTAATAGAAATTGTGTAATGGAAATAAAGAACATTGTAAACGAAATGTAGATTTTATAAATGTTACGAATACGTTATTGCTAAAATAGTTTAGTGAGAATGATTGAGAAACAGTGTATAGAAATAATATTATTATATGATCAGTTATTTATTGTGCATCTTAACCTATCAACGCGTGCAAACGAAATGTACATCTTATATAATCTAAGGCAAGTGTTTTCTGAATTTAAATCATTTTTCACATAATTTTCTATACTGTTGCTACTTTTATTGCGCAATTTAGTCAGCATTATCCAATATCAGGATAATATCTTGAATGTACATCATTGAAAATATCTATCTATAAATCTGCCAAATCATATAGCGTCATCGGTACAGATTTGCAATGATATCATGTATCGTTTGTCTATATCATGAATTCAGTTCTTTCTAATATATACTCAATATATTTCTAGTAGTAATTTAATACTATTTACACACCATGTTAAACTAGAAACAAACGAAAAGTTACCACAAAGTACAAAACAAGTGAAAATGGTATTAATCGGCACGAAGAATGTATTTATACAGCAGACAAGTATTTCTGCGCTTAAAGAGAACGAAATGGCAGAATTTTCCCACTGCCCCTACCCCTCTTGTCTAGGGCGGTAGCGTTAGGAACGGTAGGTTCAGAGGTTGTTTGGCGAGGGAGGTCGGCCACGGTGAAGGTAGAAGAGGGGTAGGGGATCGCACTGTGAGGGAGTGTGATGGAAGGTAGGGTGGCATAAGAGGGGGCCGATGGCGTAGCGGGGAGGGAAGTTGGACGGAGAGGAAGGGTGCCGCGACGTCGTGCGCCGGCAGGATGGGATTTAATCTGTGTCCCGTTTCACGCTCAGCCAAGTGGAACCTTTTTGCCTCACTTTGCGGCATGACTCGCTTTTGCGCTGGTCGTCGCGTAGATTAACGCGAAATTATATATAAAGAATGTGTGCGGACGGCGTGTGCACGGGTCGTCGGTGCTGAGCGCTACGGACGATTCGCTCTCCTCGTGCGAGACGAGAGAGAGAGGAATAGAGTGGAAGGGATAGTAGACGATCAGTAGGGAGAGGAAGAGGGAGAGAGAAAGGATTTTACTTTGTGTATTCGTCGTCCAGCCGGGATCTCTCCTCCTCCGTGTATACCTATGTATATGTCCGAGTCACACCCTCTTTGTAATGAATTAAAACTGGTGAAAAACCAGTGACGGGTTTGCATCGTCCCACAAAGCGGAGACGACGGGGTTTTCTCGCAACGCCGGGATTTCGATACCTTTAACAATAGTTTATTTTTACGACGAACGAGTTTTAAAGGAAAACAATAGCCTCCGCGAGGGGATCTGATTGAGGAAAAATTCTGATTTTTGCTTGATTTCTTGGATCGTGATTTTCAATATGTGAAATCATTCGAATCCGTATAAATAATTATATAGTTGTATTTGAGATTGATCAATATAAATAAGGGCTTGAAGAGCATTTCTTATGCTCTTGATTAAATAATTTATCACGAATGTTAAGCATAGTTTGATGCACATTACTGATCGTGTATCGAACAGTGATATCTTGTTTTGCTATAAAGCAAAATGTGTTCATCACGAAAGATATAATCTTCTTTTGAATGAAAGAAGTACTGTGTATAAATATTAGATAGTAGTAATACATATGAATGTGCAAATTCCAGTATTATCTCGAAAGATGTGATGCGATGTGCTATTCCCATAATGCATTGCAGGCATCAAAAATGTGCGTTTATACTTGACCACATTTACATATGTGGTTATTTGAATAGGCATCGAATGAATATTCATACGTTGGATTTTCGAAGGATATTCGCCATTTTAATCGGATCAAGGAAAATGTCTTAACGTAATGTCGTTATCATCTCTTTTACGCAGCATGCATAATCGAATAGACTTTATGCTGTTTCGTTCGACTGTCTTGATTTTCTGTTCTGTCATCAAAGTATAAAAGTGCTCGTTACTTGCGGTATCTGTTTAATATCTTATGCAAAATTCTCGTTTACCTTGTTCTTTAATGACCGTATATTTAGATAGGAATTCACGATAATAATATAAAAAATTAGAGACCTTATCTTGTAAATTTATATAATTGCTTACCTTACCTATTAGCGAGTTGCATTTTTAAATGTTATGTCCAATATAAAAATATTGTATTATTTATTTGAATAATTTGATTAGCAGTTTTGACTAATTTAAAAATATTTAATAAGTATAATATATTATAAGTGAAGACAATAATGATTGATCGTAAATTAATGATTGGTGATCGATAATATGATTTAGATAAAAATTAATAATATGTAGTTTATTATAAAAATATTCAAAATATATTTGAAAAAATATACAAATATATGTATACTATAGAAAATTATATACTGTATATCGATAAAAAAAAATTTAGAAATCTTTTGTTATTTCGTTTATTCAAAATTTTATTGTCTTCTTTTTTTTAACACCAAACACAAAATAATACTTGTGATATAAACTCGAAAGCTACAAATAATATTCTTATCTTATTTTTTTTTCACTAAGATATCAATTGAAATAGAAATAAAAAAAAAAAAAAAAGAAAAGAGAATACACATTGTGAGAATTCTCGATTGTGTCTCGCGTCGACACAATCGTGAAGTAGTTGTGCATTCTAGACAAGGAAAAGTGACAGATAGTTGCAGAGCGGAAACATGCCTACTTTAAGCGTGAAATAAGCACGAAACGTGTGGAATTTCGGCCCTTTCCTGACGCCGGCTAAAGTCTGATGAAAGCGCCATGGTGTGCTCCGACGTTACACATAAAGTGGTTTCATACGGTGCTGCAGCACCACGAGCAGACCCATTCAAATTGCGTTTCAACTATTTCTTGTCGTTTTGCATGCCGCAAAAGCGGTAGATTAATTAAATTCGTTAATTGCAAGATGCATTTAGCGCGAGCAGCAATGCCGGGAATGGTAGTCCTTGCCGCGGTCCCTGCGCCTGGCCGTGTGTACCCCGTGTAAGTACGTACAGCTACGGGGTTCACTCCGTTCTTATTCTTTGCACGCTGTCGGCGTTAGCACTTAATTCAGAGAAAGATCGGCGACAAAAGAGCAAAGGGCTCATTTTGTCCACATCCACCTTACTTTGTATTTCTTCATACTCGATAAAACAGTGAATTCTTTAATAAATTCCTTGTAACATAGTGTAGCATATAATCTTCGATGATTTCACGTGAATCGTCGCTACTCGCTACATACAATGAGAATGAAAGATATTTCTCTCTGTTTTTTTTTCATTATTTTTTATTTTATTTTTTATTAAACTCGTTTTCACTGTTTTATTTCTGAAAATACATTTTGATAAACCGTGGACGAATAGCTTGATTATTTGCAGTCGTTTATCTCGTTAAATTTAACAAAAGTTTATTGATTTTTACGAACGTGTGTCGTCGAAAAACGAGTTAATTGTGGTTTCGGGTATTTTCATCGATTAACCAATGCAAATATTGTCCAGTGTACTCTTTAGTGTTTGGAATTGTACCTCCGCAATTGTAGACTGTTACAATCGTGCCATCTGTGTCGCGTAACGAAATTAACAATGGCATTTTTTTTTTTTAAACATTCATTGTCTACCTTTTGACTCGTGTTATTATGTATATTGTAATTATTAAAAGTCGTTGTATTTGTGTTTATCACATCCAATTGTTTATTCTGGAAATTCAAAATTATCACGATTTACAGCAGCTTCGATACTACGTTATTTTGGATTTCCATTTCAACGATCATGATATATATTATTACAGAATGGTACACGAGGATTAACTTTTGCGATCCAAGCTTGTCTTTCAGACAATTTCAAACGCTATGATTTTATTAGTTCTAGAAACATTATTATTGTAAAAGATTTAAAAAAAAAAAAGAAAAATATATATATATATAAACATTTCTATCTTTCCACAATTCAGATATATTTTTATCTCTTTTTAAACACCATTCTCCATTGTTAAATAAATTCAAAATCTAAAAAACAATAAGTTCCATCAATTATAAAATTAATTTGACGAATAGTTATTCACTCCTATATGTTATATTTCGTATGTATAATTTTAATACGCGTGAAAAATTAATTCCTTCCATTATTATTTAAAATAAACGAGGAAAAGTATAGTATTCTATTTTCAAAGTTTTATAAAAAATATTCTATTTTATAATTATTATAATATCAATTCGATGAAAAATGATTCTTCTACAGGATGTTTCGTCGATATTTCGTCGTGTTGAAGGGGTTAATCGTTGGTCGGCAAATCGAATTTCCCACCTTTGATAGGTGAAGTCGACGACAGGCCCCACGTTTGGTACACAGCGTATGGCAAATCGAGAGCCGGTAGCCATTATCGATAGCACGCGGTTCGTCACCACCACCTATGTGTGTCCACGGCGATGATGACGATGCATGCGGTGCAATCAGGCTAATAAGAACGTGGGCCACGCGTACACAAGTGGACACATATGGGCCGGTGTGTTTATTCAACCAGACACCCTGGCTAAGTGACAGAATACACGTTGGTGCGCGATTTTGGTTCACAGAGGAGGACTTGATGCACGGGGGTGGTGCGGGTATTGGCGGGGGTTCTATGGTCGGACAGAACTCAATATTTGGGTGCTCGGCTGCAGGACACAGCGGGGTTAACCAGCTTGGCGGTGTTTACGTCAATGGCCGACCATTACCAGACTCTACAAGGCAGAAGATCGTTGAACTGGCCCACAGTGGTGCTAGACCCTGCGACATCTCGCGCATACTGCAAGTCAGCAATGGTTGCGTCTCCAAGATACTAGGCAGGTCAGTGCGATTTAAACGCGAGATCACGTTCAAATTTCATCATCGCTTCTTCATATACTTTTGCTTTATGTTTTTATGTTTCGAATAAATAAAAGATTGTAAATAAAAGATGGTTTGACATACGAGGTTAGTCAAGAATATCATTTTTGCACAATTTATCAATTTAATTTATCTCGTGTTAATCGATCCACGATTCCGTTATTACTTTTTTTTATTGGTATTAATTTTGATTGAGATATGAAAAAAATATTTATTCATTCCGTTGTATAGCTATAGTTCCAATTGGCGTGCACTGTTTCAATCTCTCTAACGAAGAAATTGATTTATTTTTCCAGGTACTACGAGACCGGTTCAATTAAACCACGTGCAATTGGCGGTAGCAAACCACGTGTGGCGACCACGCCGGTAGTGAACAAAATCGCCGACTATAAACGGGAGTGTCCATCGATTTTCGCTTGGGAGATTCGCGATCGACTTTTGCAAGAGGGTGTTTGCAACAACGACAACATACCGAGCGTGAGTACTTACTTCCCAATATTTCTCCTTCGAAAACAATATCTCCAAATCTCATCGATATCACCAATCGATCGTCATCCGACGTCTTCGAACATCCCAACGAGGGATGTTCCCTTTTCCATCGCACTTCGAAGCCAACTCTCGTCCAAGCGTGCAATTAGCAAATGACCCCAGAGGTAGGTATCGTCTGCCGATTCCAGAGGAGAAAAGCGCAACGACTGGAATTCGCGTTCCATCCAGTCGTCGGATGCCTAGACGCAGAGGAGTCGCTTTGTGCAGCGGCGGCGGTTTATCAGGGCGGTGCGCACCCCTGGTACTTAGCCGTCGGATCTGGCCACTCGACCCTAATCAAAGTCTCGTCAATACGATCGGGTGGGATAGGTAATCGGTCCATTACGCGGGCCTCGGTATTGTCCACCCCTTGGGTTCTGCTCCCCATCGAGGAATACCTCCAAACATCCTTTCCTCGCGAGCATCGATATTCCTCCAATCCACAACATCATCCCTCCTCCCCTCTGGCTCGTCATCCCTCCTCTGGCTCGTCATCCCTTCGATCCGTCGAGGAGAGAGAGAGAGAGAGAGAGAGAGTGTCTGTCGCGTGTAAAGGCCTTTTCTTCGCGAGAAGAAGAAAGCTAGCTCCCTTCCCAACCATCCCTCCCAGGCCATTCCGGCCTGGTGGCTGTCAGGAATACCGAAGGGGATGACANNCGAGTCGTTATCCGTCGGCTTGTGAAGAAGGAGGAACCACTCGCTTTTGCCGATTCTCTGGGAACGAATCCTGTGCGCCCTCGTTCGCTCACAGGGGAGGGGTGGTGATCAATCGGCGAGCATACGGAAGGAGAGAGAGAGAGAGAGAGAGAGAGTATCCGCTCTTTACCGTCGATGCTTATCCGGNAAGAAGAAACGCGGTGTTCGATCGGCAGCTTTTAAATCGTGGAAATGATCGTTATAATGATCACAGAGGTTGTAATTTTTCTCTAGGCGCAGAGAGGATCCCTGGATTGTCGAACGAGGTAGATAGAGCGAGGTCTCGATTTCTCCGCGCTCTTTCGACAACTTCGATGAAAATCTCCTAACGAGATTGTGTCACGAATTATATATATATATATATATATCAATGGAGAGTGAATTTCTCCTAGAACTCTGCATTTATCACACGTACTATACTTTTACTAATAAATAATAATTCGTCTTCCAAATCAATTCCAAGTTCCGTCCAATAGAATCCTCCTCCTTACATCCGAAACGTATCAACGAATCGTTTCGAGGAATCTTCGATCGAGGAGGGGAAAGGAGGGATTGCACGGATGACGACGACGATTGTCTCGCGCGACGGCAACGACGTTAACGGTAATGATAGCAATGACGACGATGATGATGATGGTGGTGGTGGTGGAGCGCCGGTTGTTGCGGTGGGTACATATCGTCCGCGGCAATGGGGTGCGACGGGGTTAGTCGCCGACGAGCGGATGGAAGCGGGTAGAATCAGGGTGAATGGGATCAGTTAAGCGTGTTGCACAATTATTCGTGTCCGGTCGCGCGTGTAATGGTCTGCATCGGTGCTGCGGCTGTTGTGCGGCGAGAGCCGAGTGGAGCGAAGCGTAGAACAGNAGGTTGCTTGGTTTGATGATGGAAAGCCTAGGCTTGCTTGCTTGCTTGCTTGCTTGCCTCTGGAACTCTGCCTGTGCAACTCTCCCTCTCTCTCTCTCTGTCTCTCGATGCTGTATGCAGTTAGTCTGGAAAACGTCCTTTCCATGCGCTCTCTCTCTCTCTCTTTCTCTCGTGGCCATTATTCCGCAGGATTGAGACGAATCTTGCGATACCAACTTTCCACGATATCGTCGTCTCCCTTCGAGGTAACGTACCACCCCCTCCCTGTTGGATTGATTCCGGTTAAGGAACAAGCGGACGGGGGCTCTCCTTGCTTCGTATTACGTCGAGTTTCGTTTGTTTGGATCTGTTCGATGGGTTTGCGCAATTTCCTAAGAAACTCTCGGATATCGCGTCGCGTATATACGCGTTCGTGAGAGTTGGGGGGTTATGTAGGGGAAAAGAGAAATTCTGTGGTATTTTATCTGGTTTGTATTGGATTTTATATTTCTTCTTTGACTCGTGTCTCTCTTCTCCTTGTTTAAACTTTAGATTAGAAGATCGTAATTAATTAGGGAAGCAATCTTAGATCCACGAATTATCCTCTCTGAGGATTTTCAATCGATTACTTTTTTTCCTGCTTTTTTCCTTAATCATTTGCCGCTTCGAGATTGGCATCCGCGTGTTAAACGTGTTTCGCTTATTACAAAGCTTAAAGTTAAAAACTCGAGAGGCTCGACGACGCTCGAGATCGATCCCTCGTCGAGGCGGCGCGCACAAAAAGCACACGATTGAATTTATCGGCTTTTATTCGACGTAATAACCGCGCCAACCCCTCCCCTCTCGCGCATACACGTTCTTGACCCGTACGTACTCGAGTGTACAACAACGTCGGTTGTTGGCACCCGACCGCATACACACGCCCATTATTTCGTGCGAGGTCTTAAACTCGAGGAAAGGATCTCTCTTTCTCCCCCTCTTCTCTCATCGAACCTTTCAACGAAAGCCCAGTAATTAAGAAGCTTCGCTCGATATCCTCCACGTCCAGAGAGAGAGAGAGAGAGAGATTCATGGGAGTGAATGCACAGAGAAAGGAGAGGTTATGGGCTATGTACGGTACGACTTGCTGCCGTTGCTTGCTGCACCGTCGACGAGTCGATGTTTTGGGGGGGAGGCGGATGAAGAAGGGGGATGTAGAGGAGGAGGAGGGGGGGCGGTTGAGCGCGCGTAGAACAGCGAGAGCGAGACTATTATGCGCGAGAGTCGAGAGCACAAGGTTCGCCCCCGTGGCTCGTTATAACTTTAGAGTTGGCCAGTGGTTCGGTACAAGGTGAAGAAGACCGCGCTCTACCGTCGTTGGTTAGGGGAGCGAAGAGCCATGGAAACCGTTTTATGTAATAATAATTGGATGGCGGTGTCCTTTCATCTGTTAGTCTCTCCCTCAACGTGAAGGTCGGCAAAGAGAACGGAAGAGAGAGAGAGAGAGAGGGAGAGGGAGTGATGAACGAGAGACAACCGACTATGTAACTATGGAAATGATTGTCGCGAGGAAAGAAGAGGAGATGAAACTTTGGAAAAAAAGTTTTTTTTCTCCTCTCTTTTGTCCCTTCCTCTTTGTTTCTTGAGAGCGATCTTTCACGATTGACCACGTTTTTTCTCCCCTCGTCGAGCGTCAATTAAGCCCTGGAAATTTTCACGATAATCGATTAAACGATACGGTGTTTTCCTTTCGTGCGAACGATGTGCAAGACTCGTGCAATGCTCGTCGTGGATTGTGGATTTCGTCGAGGGAAAGAGAGAGAGAGAGAGAGAGAGAGAGAGAGAGAGAGTTACGATCGAATCGATTTTCGATACCAATCTTCTGTTCGTGGTATTCTACAGTTTTCTAAAAAATCTGCTCGATAAATCAAAAAACCAATCGGTAGATGAACCAACTTACAACAAACAAACTCCTTTCAATCACAACCACTCTGCGGTTACTACTATTCTACTAACGATTTGATACTTGTCAAACAATCCGCTAAATCAATCTACGATACTTTCCTGAAAACGATGGTGTCGCCGTTCGGTAAACGAAAAACCAATCACCGTTCCAAAACGATAGCATGCAACTTACAATGGACAAACTTTTTTTTCCAACCCCTGACTGCCGTATTTTCGAACAATCCTCCTCTGCAATATATTTCTCTCATCAATATACCGAACATAATTAATCAATCTTTTTTTCACTCTTGTTTCATCAATATTCGAGAAAAGAATTTTTCTCAATTGGTAAAACAGTGTATACATATGCGACGCAACAACAAAGCCTAAAAGCCTACTATCTAACTTAAAAACATAAACTCTTTTCAACGCATTTTAGAAACGCGTTATTATATATAAGATAAAAATACACGTGTTCTTTTGATTTCTCTCTTCCATATCATTATTGGATCGTTCATTAAATATAATTCGCATATGGATTAATTGGTATTTCGGCAGGTGTCGTCCATCAACAGGGTGCTGAGGAACCTCGCCTCGCAGAAGGAGCAACAGGCGGCGGCAGTGCAAGCGCATCAGGGTGCCGAGAGCGTGTACGATAAGCTTCGGATGTTCAATGGGCAGGCTGCAGGTTGGCCACCGGCTTGGTATTCCGCTACGCCCTCTCATCATCCCTTGGCCACGGGAATCCCGACGGCGGCGACCCCGGGCTCTGGCCAGTCGCTTCTACCCGGCAGCCAGCTTCACGGCCGCGACGATTCCCTGCTCAAACGAAGCGGTGAGTCCCAATTATACGTTAATTGCTAAGCGCGACGCGCAACCGTGTTTTCTCGTCGGAACAATCTCTTGTTCCTCCACTTCGTTAATGGTGATCCTTTATTGTTCGCGATTCTGATTATTTGGGTGGTTTTTTTTTTTTTTTTCTTTCTTTTTTTCCTTAAGCGAAATTTTTCGAATGTTATTTCGAATCATTTTTTTTAGATAAACTTTAAATCGAGGAGTAATGTTATTTTACCAGATGTTTGTAAGAATTTGTGAATTCTTATTGTTTTTCGATTTTGAACGATTTTAACTTTTGAAGAGATTTTTTTTTTCTTTCTTTTTTTCCTTAAGCGAAATTTTTTAACGTTATTTCGAATCGTTTTTTTTAGATAAACTTTAAATCGAGGAGTAATGTTATTTTACCAGATGTTTGTAAGAATTTGTGAATTCTTATTGTTTTTCGATTTTGAACGATTTTAACTTTTGAAGAGATTTTTTTTTTCTTTCTTTTTTTCCTTAAGCGAAATTTTTTAACGTTATTTCGAATCATTTTTTTTAGATAAACTTTAAATCGAGGAATAACGTGATGTTATTTTACGAGATGTTTGTAAGAATTTGTGAATTCTTATTGTTTTTCGATTTTGAACGATTTTAACTTTTGAAGAGATTTTTTTTTTCTTTCTTTTTTTCCTTAAGCGAAATTTTTTAACGTTATTCCGATTCATTTTTTTTTTAGATAAACTTTAAATCGAGTAGTAACATGATGTTATTTTACGAGATGTTTGTAAGAATTTATGAATTCTTATTGTTTTTCGATTTTGAACGATTTTAACTTTTGAGGGGATTTTTGAGAAAGATATGTAGCAATACGTTTAAAATTATCAGTGACTTCTTTACGAAATCTCTTTTTAAAAGATTCGTACGATCGTTCCATGTAACATATCAAAAGAAAAAGAAAAGGACATATTTATCTATCGATTAGACCTCGATATCCGCAAAGAAAATCAACAAGGAAAAATCCTTTTCACCTCGTTTCGATACCACTTTTCAACAGCTCCATACGTAAACGAAATTGTTACCGTTGATCGAGCACAATGCTTGTGGGGGTCCTTTTCACCTTTTTTTTTCACGCCGTCGCGTCGAAGGGAAGGTATAGAGAATCGGACAAACGGCATAGGAATCCTCTCAATGCTTGATCCACTTCTTCTTGCCGTGCGGTGACGGATCTCGACAATGGTCTCGAGGCGAGGTTCAAAGTCAAGGGAGAGGGGGAGCACCCTCCACGTATTATAATCTGCTCGTGTACGCGCAACACCCTCTCTCGCCCCGCTATTACGTGCCTTCCTTGGCGCATTGTATTTTCACCGTGGAAGGGTGTTGTGCGCGTTCCTTCCATTCCACAAGAAAAGAAGAAAAGAAGTTTTGGTGTCGAAAAATGGCGTCTCTCTCTTCTAATAGGATCAAGGCCAATCGGTGGCTGCTGCGGTCCTCTCCGCGATCGTGGCCGGAATCGCTCCACGGATCGTGCTTCTGAATGTGACCGCGATTTCGAGATAAGAAGATTAGGGGAATTGTTGCTAATTCGATGGGTTGAACGAATATCCAAGTTTCTGATAACGAATATTGATATTTTGAAGTTATAATATGTATATATATTCAGAAATTTACGGTAGAAGAGGATTGTTTACGATAAAATTGTAAAAAGTGCGTGAAAGTAAAGTAATTAATTTCCTCTTCGATTTTCGAATATCCCCTCTTCAACATTCTTCCATTCGCGAAAATACTTTCCAAGAATTTCAACGTGATATTCCAAGAAACTTCACTCTGCATTCCAGAAAATTAAAAACCAATTACTACAACCCTTGAATTTCTGTAACTCTTTGAATTTCTGTAAATTACTCTTTCCCCATATCGCTCTAATAACAATAACACCTACATTCTCAAAAAAAAAAAAAAAAAAACTCTCTACACAGTTTCACTCTCGAAAACAGATTCGCACCCTTCTACTCAAATAAGTAGAAAATATCCCATATAAAAGCGTACAGACGATGATTTCACTTGGCGCGAGGGATGAAGAGGGGGGCCACATCGGTATATATACACACATACATACATACATACATACACATACACGTTTGAGGATGGCGGTATTTCGGATCGCGAGAGAGGGCCAGAGGGTGGCTAGGTGGCGGTGGAGAGGGAAGTTGGCGAGAGATTTCGTAGTAGAGGGTCGTGGCAGAGAGAAGGCGGTGGAGAAAGGGTGGGTGGTGCGCGATGCGCGAGAGATGAGCGAACGAGAAAGCGAGCAGCTGACGAGCGGACGATATATATATATATACATACATAGGTATACATACATACATATATATTATATAAGTGTGTGGCGTAAGGGCGAGTACATAGGTAGGGACGAAGGGATGGACAGGGGGAGGGAGAGGAAATGGCAGGAAGGTATCGAGGAGAGGGATGGAAAGAGGGTTCGGTGCGCGGAGGCGGAAAGTAATCGCGGCTCACGGGGAGCCGTCAACGTCGACGACGATGACGACGACGACGACCACCACCACCACGACCACCACTGGTACAGACACTAGCGAGGACACACCTCTGTGTGTCGTTTTCCGTCTTAATCTTGGCCCTCCCTTCCCTCTCTCTCTCTTTCTCTCTCACCAGCTGTTTCTAGGAACACCGAGAACGTTAGTCCGCGTCGTTCGTCGCGAAATCGCTGGAACGATACCGGGACGGGGCGATCCTTAATTGGATCGCTCTTCTTGAGGCAAACTGGTGGAAAGTTCGAATGCCGCCGTGCCCCTCTTTTCTCTCCCCTCCTTCGGCCGAATTTTCTTCGTCGTCGTCGTCGTCGCGCGGACTATCGGCAAATTAGCCGAGAAATAGGAGAATGAAGGAGGAGGAGGAGGAGGAGAAGATGGTTGATTTTTTTTTTCTTTCGAGAATTTTTTATAGAAATGGTTTTTTCAAAATAAGGAGATAAAGAAACGGGGGAAACGTTTGTTTTTCAGACACGGGCTCACTGTTGTCGCATCAGCAGGAGGCCACGTCGGATGGCAATTCGGAGCACAACTCGTCCGGCGACGAGGATTCGCAGGTACGGCTGAGGTTAAAACGGAAGTTGCAGCGCAATCGAACGTCCTTTTCCAACGAACAGATCGACAGCCTCGAGAAAGGTTAGTTTTAGACGGTCTTTTGCTAATGGAATTTATCGATTAAAAAAAAAAAAAAAAAAGAAACTCTTTAATACCCTTAATATTTCTTCCTCAACAATTTCAAGTATTTTTAAAATTCGAACGAAAATATAATCTGTAATAATAGTAGAAGAATATTGAACAGAGCTCGAGAGAAAATTTTCATTGAAAATGAAACACCACCACCGCGTCATTAATTTAAAAAAAAGATGAACCAACGTATTATATGCATCGTATTAATAATAGAAGACGACCGACTCATCGTTCTAAACAAGATTCTCAAAAATAAATGAGTTACTTCCGCAACCGAATGTAAATTATTAAATCCTCTCGTAACGGTGCAAGGGGATAGACGAATTCATAATTGAAACTATATCGAACATAAGCACGGGCGTTAAGGGGTTGGAAGCAGCAGTCCTACATCCCCTTTTTCCCTCTTTTAATCATCCTACAAAAATCCCTACCTACAATTACTACCGTTGAAAAGAGGAAAACAATAAAAAAAAAAAAAAAATAAAAGAGAAAAGAGGGAAAAGTACCATAGGTAGCTTCAATTTCACATTTCCACGTAACGAACACCTATGCCCCCCCTATGAACAGAAAGCTCCATTTTCGTTCAGCCGGTAATAACGATATAAACGTCGAACGATCGTGTCATGGATCCTGTGTGTACGTATATTCCGTTTCGCGACATGCATATTCAGAGACGGTCGAGGTAAATTACTGCTTTCCTCAAATATATATATATATATATCTATATATCTATATACATATATATATATATATCAGCCTTCTCTCGCTCAGCAGGAGCAGCACCACTGCTTTAATTGGATCCGCGGCCATTCAAGTCGGCGCTGCGTGTTCGAGTATCGTTCGATAATTATCCTTTTAATCTTGTCTCGCGGTGAATCGAAATTATGCGCGATTAATATAAAATTGTACCACGTACACGCTTACCCGCGAGTTAAAAACAAATATATGTACATACATGTACCATGCATGCACGTGTATGTGTACGTGTATATTACTTATAGTATAGTAGCGCGAAAACACGCGAGCTATCCACGTTTAATAACGAGCACTTGTTGCAAACTGGTTTCGTTTTAGAATTCGAGCGGACACATTACCCGGACGTGTTTGCACGGGAGCGTCTCGCCGAGAAGATTGGATTGCCTGAGGCACGTATCCAGGTGAGTGTGAATGTGCGAATGCGGCGTGTGCTTCCTCTTTCTCGTTCGCTCCGCCTTTTTCTCCCTTCCTCTTTCCCCTCTTTCCTTCTTTTTTCTCTCCCTCTCCCTCTCTCTCTCTCTCTCTCTCTCTTTCTATGCTCCTTCTCGTTTCACANTTTCTCCTCCTCGTCCCTCCTCCTCCTCCTCTCGTTTACTCGTGTCTTCCGCGTAAGTCCTTCCTCTTCTTCCTCTTCTTCCTCTTCTTCTTCCACTCCCACGACACGTCTTCTCCCGGCCTTAGGAGAGAAGGGCGGCTGTTAAGTGCAACGACGCCCTTTCATTAAACGCTTTGAAACGCGTGACCACGGGGACGTTAAACACCTCGAAAGACGAATCTGCGAGACCACCCGGGGGGATTTCTCGTCTTTATGCAAGCCTCTTTTATACATGCCATTTTTTTTTTAACGCGTGCCTTCGCCACCATTCGGACACCCTCTTCTCTCTCGCTACTCTCTAATGTATGTATTGCAGGTTTTTTTGAAAAAATTTCACGGGAAGGGTCTCTTTTTTGGAATTTTGTTGATTGCTTGATCGGTCGAAGACAATTAAAAACGTAAATTCCTACGAACATTTTTAATAAAATAGACAGGATTATTTGCTTCTCGTATACAAAACGAGAAATCCCGGTTTGTTGTTTGAACAACTTCTTTTTCCCAACAAGAAGAAGCGTAATTTCTCATCGCATTTCGGGAGTGCAACGTATCTCTACGCGAGTATAGATCGTGCAAAGAGTACGAAGAGGAGGAAATAGCGTGTGAGAGGGAGAGGGTGTATCGTAATTAATTAATATAACATCGTTGCTCGAGCCATGGGGTGACGCACGGTTATACGAGCTAATATGTACGCAGCCTTATCGAACATTGTTTGGCCGCGCCGTGCCGCTGTGTTCGACCCTCTTGCTATCCGCTCGGCCTCCCTCACCTGGCCCCGACGATAGGGGGTGGTGAAGTGGCC